TCGGTAAACCATATATTCCTGTTCAGTACACACATTTTTATTGCTATTTTATAAAAATAATGCGTCATTACATGTGTTAAAATTGTATTTGAAATTAAAAACCGAAATATCGGCTCAAGAGGTATTTCTTGCAAAACCCTCGAAGCCGATATATCGGCTCTTGGGTACTAACAAAAGAGGATCAAAACCAGCATTGACCATTTTTAACAAAAATACAAAACCCATAAAGACACGTCAATCCGTTTATTCACGGAACCGATAAAAATGGTCTCCATCGCGCAACCGGTGTGATCGTTCGAAAACCCAGGATCGTTACAATCCTAAAAGACGCGCGAGTAAACTATGGGGCTCGCGGTGTAGATGCATTCGTGGAGCTCTCGAAGTCACACGCGACCCAACCAAAATCCGCCGCTGTTACTGTGTGATTCCTTGCGCCTCGTAAATCACCGGCTGTTCGGCTCGAATTCTGCTTTCTCGATTTTTCCCACGTTGAGGCTCTTAATCCCCTGTGTTAATCATGAGAAATCGCGGTGCGTGCACCTACCTGTTTCCTATAACGCGACCACGAGGAACACGGTCAATGGCGAGTCCCCCCCACTATCCCCTATGGCCGCGTGCGTTGCTTATGGTTTTTAATGCCGAGATGACAAATACGTCGTATTTAGCGATATTTATGCGAGCGGATCACGTCAGCTTCCGTTGACTGGGACTCCTCGGATTATCTTGTCCACGTGAAATATCGCTTTCGCCGTTTGTCGCTACGTAACCTGCCGTAACGTTCTGTGTACGCGTAATATTAAGTTACTTCCAAGGGACTGGCATGGAAATTAAGAGAGAAGGCACGATTGTAACCGGGGTGGATTGGAGGTAGCTTTAAGAGATTCCGGAGTCCACTTTGTACGAAGAAAATATGATCCTCGTTTCTTGGGAAGGTGAACGATTCACTGCGTATCGTTCGTTGAACTTCGGGTGAGAGAGAAAATCTCTGGATTATTCTGTGACAATGTAATTAATATATTATGTACAGGGGAACCGGTGCTAAACCGGGACGCTTAAGATAAAATCTCATAACTTTAACATTATGAATGTCAACAAAAAATTGTAGTTAGGATTTATTAGAATAAATCATTTGTTAAATAATAGTACATATCCAAGTTTTTAAATAGAAGAATAAATACAAAGAAATAACGATGTAAAATATGATTCGTTTTTACGATTTTACTCCATGGCTTTGGTAAACCTAATACTAAATAGATACTTTCCCTAACTTATCAAACTTTAGTGTAAACTAAAGGTGCAAAAACGTTGTAACTTTATGACCGTTCGGTGAGAATTCAACGAGAAACAACTTATGGAATGGACCTAAAGACACGTCTCGATATGTAGAAATGATGAACATTGCATTCAGTCCCCTATATGATGGACTTTACACTCTTTGGCTGGGAACAAGATACGGAATAAGATTACACTATTATACAAAAAACAAAACGACTTAGAACGAAATTATTTTCACCACCGGAGAGTGAAAAAATTTGCTACAGGAACCATGTAAAATATCATTCCTTAAAAAAAGTGGACTTAATCGACTCCTGCTCTGCGGCCCAGATGTATTGTTTAACTTTATACCTTCAAGATTCCATCACCCTTATCTGGTCGTATCGACAGAAAAAAAGAACAAAACAATACCACAGAGAAATGACAAACAACTCGAGCGACGAAATCACGTTAGAGCTCCAAATTAGGAAAGAACTGGGTAGGGTAATGGGATTCCATAGGACGGTTAAGTTCCCCGAAGTAGGCGGTTTTTTCGCAAGAATTGCGGACATTTTTATGAGGATTAGAGAGGACTAAGGGGATTCGGTGGCCCGCGGTAGCATGGACTTTTATCATGGTGGAAATCGACGAAACGGCCCCGATGCTACGTGGTAGCCGCTTCCTACACCCACAAGCGTGTGTATATACATATACATATGTGTGTGTGTAAATGCATGTGTATACGTTAGAAGTTCTGGGGTCCGGTTTCTCGTGTTACCGTTTCGTGATGCTGCTGACTGCCCGGCAGCCGCATAATACGCGTATAACTTATGCTCCGACCCGCAGAACGGACCCTCGCAACCTTGTGTAAGTGCTCTCTCCTGATGTCCTCGCGAAAAGAAGTAGCGAAGGAAACGTGCACACGCAGAAACGTTGGCATTATGCCCGCCCACTCGCACGGTCTTAACGAATTTCGTGGGGCACGGACACGCGAGAAAGGTTTGGCGATTTCTTTCTCCGTGTCTTCCTGTCGCGGGCGATGGTTCTTTCGGACGAGGTACAGTAGATACCCCTATTACAGGAAGGACACGGTCCGTGTTTATAGGGTAGACCGAGGCGAATCGGATAAATTTCTGTTTGATAGCAAAAAAATTATAGTCGAAGCTTAGAAAGCTAATTGTTTATCATAAATTCGTAATCAGTACACATTTAACTTGCACATTAATAATAAAAGAAAATTTTTAACTTAAACGTTTTTTGTAAACAAAAAACGAAAATGTGAGGAATGTTCTGAAATCTCTGAAAAACTGAAGTTTTCATAAAAAAGATATTTAAATTAACTTTGAAAAATATAATTTAGTGATAAATAGGTCAATTGATAGTACTTGGAACATACTCGTATTTGCGAAGCATCTGTATGTAAATAATTATCACATTTATAATCATAAAAATATTCAAAGGAAGAAAAAGAGTGATCCAATTCACCCCAAATGCTGTGATCCGATTAACCCCATACACGAGGATTTCAAATTGAATTGGATACATAGACGAATTATGGTACAATAATCTAAAACATAAGGAATACTAAATTTGGACACCATACGAACTAATAATAGTAAACACATTTGTGGCGTTGGGGACTTTAGTTTATTTTGTTTCGTTATTTCAGAAAAAAGAATGTTTTATTTCGTGTTTATGTCGTTTCATGGTTTCTGTTGTATTTCTTTCTTTTTTATGCTGATTAATCGCGAATCAATTACTCGACCCAATAGGCGAGAGACGAGTCTGTCGAGTCATCGACTTTCGGAAACGACGAAAACAAATTATAATTACGCTTAGAAGAGAAACATACATATTGCCGTGCGTTTGTGATAAAGAATTTCGAGTTTACACCGCAGGACGTACGGCTTTGTAATTTATCTTCCTTTCATAAGGGGCGCAGCGGGATGCAAAGCAAACCTAAGACGTAAGCGACACGGTGGAAACATTGATTTCACCGATGCATACTCATTTCCGTTGACGCGATGTATTATTGAATTACCCCTTCGTTCAAAGTTCCATGCGAAACAAATTTAGTACACAAACATGTTTATGGTATTTATTCGAACCAGAAACCTTCTGTAACAATGACCAAACTTTTTTCCCCGAGAGTGTGGTCGAAGGTTTCGAATTAATTATAATGTCTTTGAAACTAAAATGCATTGAAATTTCACAATTATTTTCAACGATTGCCATTTTGAATTTCAAAAATCCTGTTAAAGATTACCATCCATAAGTTTAGAATAAGCTGCATTCCAGACGAATAAATCCTGCGATGACCCAACCCCATAAATCAGGCTATAATATTCGAAAGTATTCAATGAGATATTTAATTTGAGAAATTATATTTTCGAAATCATATAGGTATTAAATCATGGTAGTTTAGATATCGAAGCTTCCAGCTTATAGAAACTTATCAACACGATCCTAATACTAGTGTGATTAACTGCTGGAGAAGCGGCCACTGGCTAGAAAGGGTCCCACGGTAGAATGTAAATTAATAGGACCACGATAAAGCTTGGAAATCCTTAATGAAAAGACCATTAGCATGATAGAGGTTCGACTGTCCAATGAAACACGGGTGTGACACAACAGCCATTTATCTTCTTCGCCTCTCTAATTCGTGTGTATGAGCACGTGGATCCTCTTCACACATGCGTACTTCGATCGAACAATTTAATACATGTGTGAATGTGGTTTATCAGGATCACTGTCATTTGCTTATCTTTGTTAAATGAAATCGTTGAACACCATTTAGATGCGTTTCATCAATCCTCCATAGAAATTTATGCAGATGAAACCACTCAGATCATTAAGTATAAGGTACTCACATATTTGTATATGCGTGGTAGTCATTAGTAAATTCCTCTAATTTAAAAGTGTTTTCTTGTACGTATAGATATATCGCATAATATTTTGTTATTTAAACGTTCTTAAGAATGTATCTTCTTCAGTGATTCTGCGTGCACTGTTAAAAAAACATATGACTTTACTACTCTCGAAATTAATTTGAACCAGTGTAGAAGTCAATTCAAGGAAATGTATTCATGTATCGCTAAATATAATAGTAATACAGATTAACTATCGATGTGCAACTAATTCACAAGTTTTCCTAATGAAAAGTACAACTGAAGATCAAACTTCATTCCTACGTAAAATTGAACCTAAAATAACTATTTAAATGTGAATACTGAACTAAACAATACAATGAAAAATCTAAAAAGGACGTATAAAAAAATGTTTAAAATGGAATGGTGAGACGTTTGAGTACTTCTTGTAAGTTTTCGAAAAAAAAAATGAAATATCTCAAACTTCTCAATGACCTGAACCCATACAGTTTATGCAAAAAAATTCGTAATGTTGCACCGATGCACTTATAAAAAAAATAATGCAGTCGTTTGATAAAGCTTGTTAAAGAATTCAAAAATTTCCTCTATAATTTTTTTCTAACTTCACTTCAGACCTGTAATCCGTCCCAGTTACTAGTATCACCCTGTAAGCGGCACTCGCGCGCGCGCTCAAAATACCGGGAGAGCCGCTCTGAATCCCATTACCGCGTACACGCCGGCTCGCCTTTTACAGAACACTGAATCCCCCCCCCCCCCTCGCCCCGTGGCCGGGTGTACGGGCACTCGACGGCACTGTTAAACCGCGTCGTGAGCGTAATAAATAGCGGGTCAGAAACGCGGTGACAGGACAATCCTTACCTACTACGACCACGTGGCCGAAGACCTGATCGTTGGCCACGTGGGAACAGTTCCAACGGTGATGCCTGAACTGATGCCGGCACTCGCGAAGTCCGAGCTCCGCGCCCTCGCCCACCGCCGGCATCGCGTGCGGCGCTTTTCTGCACTGCTCCCGTTGGCTCTTCGCCAGGCCGGGGATACGACCGCAGACGGCTGCGCCGACCACCACCGCTCCGACCACCCTGCAATCAGAACAGAGATTCTTTTAACACGTTGTTGATTGCCACGAGAAATTTTGTAAAAATCCCATCAGGCCACTCAGGTTGGGATTAAGACTTTTTGGGGTCTGGGATTATGAAGCCTTTGGGGGTCTCCTTGGTTGAAGGAGAGGTGGCGTGAACTGCTACTTGGGAATCACGAGTGATTTGATCACATAACCCTTATATTTTATATTAATGACATCGAAACAAAATTCCGAGTTATATCGTATAAAATGAAGGAATAATTGGAAACAATGAAGAATAGTGAATGAATTAATGATTATAAATTATAATCTACATGATACCTAGCAAATCATTTTTTTAGAATTTCTTATGTAGTAATGTAATTCATCGTAAAATCTTATTGAATACGTTTCTCTGTTTAAAGATCAAGGACTTACGATCGCAGTGAGCAAATTTACTCAAGATAAAGAAATCGCAATCACGGTCGTGAATGAAATTGAATCACGACCGTGATCGTGATTCGGCGATCACTGTGATAAATTACCGTTAGTGATTTTGTACGCCATCTCTAGTTGAAAAGGGGGAGGGGGGCGTACACTGTACACTATTCTATTGGTAACTTTCATTTTACCAATGCTATGTTATATTTAAATAACTTTCGTCCGATTTATTTTTACATTTATTGCAATTTGATAATTGCCTAATGATTTCAAATAGGGATCAGTAAAAAAAATGTTGTGACATAAATAGAAGGCTCAGATTGGGGCCCCCTGGAAAGTGGGTCCCGGGGCTACAGCCGCCACTAACCCCCCACCGCCCCTTGATCCGGTGCTGAGACCACTGTGAAACCTGTTGATCACGGCTGTTGTGAAAAATCAAGCAATCAAAATGCTTTTTCCCTGGGCACGGCGACGCGACACACAGTGGCCCAAACACGAAGTTTCACAAGGGAACATACTGAAACCAAACGCCGATTTTATTGAAATTTATTTGGGAGACAGTCCTCTAAATAATATTTGATACGTATTTTTTTTATCGGTCATCGTCCATGCTAAGGGGGTGATAAAAACCCCTAGAGTTGAGGGATGAAAATATATTTTTTGGAATATCGCGGAAATTAAAGGGAGTGGAAAGAAGTTTTTTATTTCAAATTTGTGTATTTTTGAATTGTGAATTTAGACACATAAGGAAATTACAGAAAAAGTTAACATTTCTAATATATTATTTAAATAAATGATGTTTTCTTAAATTTTCGTATACGACTATATTCCCTATTCAAAAACACACAGTTTTAAAACAAAAAACTTTTTCTACTCCCTCTAGTTTGCGAGATATTTAAAAAAATATATTTTCATCTCTTAACTTTGGGACTGTGATCACCTCTATAACATGAGCAATGGCCGATAAAGAAAATACGTGTCAAATATTTTTTGGAGAACTATCTCTCATATAGGTTTCATTAAAATCAACATGTGCAGATTTGGTATGTTCCCTTGTCAGGCAAAGATAGAAAAAGAATATCCTAAGAATTCATACTTGTACGAAGATTAGACTATTAGTCTTTTCACTGTTCTTAGAAATAATAATTTTATTAATCAATTTCAAGTCAAATTTCACAATTCCTTAATGCACCTACTAAACTTCTGGAATGACATAACAGTAACGACCTTTTATCGTGGCAGTCTTGGTTTTCACCCCTTTAGAGTGAATGTTTGATAAATATAGTCGAACATGCTTGAATCCCAGAAAATTTCATTAAAATTTCATTAAATCTTTATATTGAACAATTTTCCTTGTTAATATCTAGAAATACTTTTCTTCGCCAAAAAAATACTGCATTCTATCTCACCGTCCAAAATCAAATTTTCAATATTCAATCTCTCACACTTCCAATACGTTCCATTAAACATAAGATACACGTGTACTATGAATTTAATTCCGGTATAGCGAATTTTTCCAACGAAATTCGATATACCACCGTGTGTAGTGGTTATTTGTCCTTTGATCTACGATTCGACCGCCTCCCTCTTTTCCCAAATGATTAAATCAATTTCATATAAATTATTACCCGGCAATGGATCCCGGTTGGAATCGCCGGTAACGGGACACCGTTTAGCATCGGGAGATCCAGAAACCGACGACCGGTAGTATGGGCCCACCTGATCGTACGACGAATTAAATCTCGATAAATTCGAACGTGTGAAAGTACGGAACGAGCGTGTCGACGAGAGGAGTCAGCGATGCCACGATCCCGAGCGACTCGTTCATTAGCATTTTAAGTTCCTTCGTTGTCGTTGTCGTCGTATTAATTCGATTCCGGTGGTACGTTATACTTCATCTGTGTGTATATGCGACGTTGCTCGCGGTTAAGAAATTAACGATCCCTCGATCTTTCTCTTCCACTGTCCAACCGAGTCCTCTTTCTTCATTTCCCTCTCTTCACCGTTTTGTTGCGATGAGCCGCAGAAACTCGCAGATTCTCCCGGCATACTTCTGTAATTACTGTCCAGTATGATTCATCGTGTTGCTGGAAGAAGAGACGTCGTTTGAAAAATGTGAAAGCACGCGCGGGGTTTTTGATGCAACCGATTCGATGTATCGTTTGGCACTGTACGCTTTCGCAGCCGATGATATACAGCGGTGGGCTAAAGTTCTTTGGGATCGTCTCTGATGCAATCGCGTATGATGATGAAATACGTGTGGTTATTGAAAATTTCGTGGAAAATTTTTATGGAAGAGGCAATTCTGAGTCAGAGGAAATTTATTTTTCCATATATGATCCTTCATTGTCAATGCACTTTTGTATCCTATATTTCCACCTCTCCAAATCTTGCCTGCTGAAGGAAGCATCCTTTGAAATGAACCAGTTTACACCAGCCTGTTTCCCAGCTTTAGGTAGTTCCCAGCAAATTACCCTTGATTGTTTTTTTTTTCAACTCAGGAAAGAAGAAAAAGTCTGAAGGAGCCAGATCGGAGCTGTAAGATGGTCACTCGTTTACCAATCAAGTTTCATTAAAAATTTGATGTTTGCATATTTCGAAAGTCAGATTATTTAAGAAACAATTTTTCGAAAACAAGCGTAATTAAATAGTATAAAATGAAGTACTGAAATAAAATTCTGGGATTCGATAAACTACACTCCGTTTTACTCCGAAAGTTCATTGTTTTCACACTGTGACTTCGTGAAACAAAGTGGTAGCCTAATTCCCCAAACTTTTTATATCCTTACATATTCCCGTGCTATGGCTAATACCAGTTTTTCTCTATATTCTTATATTCTTTTTATAATTTTTCTTTTCCTTTTTATCATTGAACCGAATAGTTTCAGTTTCGATGGAGCGTGTTGCTTAACAAGATCAATTTGGGGATTACTCCCGTCAAAGTTCTTCGCCTGCCCGGTAGGCCCGGTTCCCTCCGGGTTTCTGACCGTCACATTTTTTTAGGGCGGTCGATCCGCTTACGGTGAACTCAATCTAATCTAATTTAACCGATCGTCGAACCGACGTGTTTCACTTTGTATTATATAATCCGTGCTCGGACGGGCGAGCGCCTGTTCTTCGTGTTTTTAAAAAAGTTTTTCTGCCCATCCGTCATCCCGATCCGTATTTCGACATCTTCACGAGCAACCTGCGAGACGCGATCGCGGCATACTAAAAACGATTACCCGCCGACAAGCTGAAACGTGATACTTTCAGCCTCCTACTGGTCCATTGCGTAATTTACATGCCATAAGTCAACCTCTTCTGCGGAGGTAACGGGGCGATTCCAGAAACTTTGAACACACGGCGAACGACTCCTACTTGATTCTCTTTTTCTTCTCGTTTATTAAATTATATCCCCCATCTCGATGGTACGGTGAATTCAAGGGAACATAAAAATTCGTATTACACAATGTAAAAGTCTTTTCGGTGTAACCAGCGATTGTAAATTTATCGACCTTTACAATTACCGGTAATTCGGTAAGATTTGTAATCAAAATTGGTTTACCGGTATTTTTTAGGATATTGTAAACACAAGAAGAAATAGTATAAAAAAAAACATTTTACTGAAGTCTAATCGAGCATTATGAAAAATATATGCAAGTAATACTATTCTGACTATAAAATATAAAATGATAAAACAAAAACTGCATATACATATTAGCAAACTATTGATAATACCTTCTAAGTATGCGGTTTCACCACGAAAACAGTGAAAAGAATCTTAACTTACATACATAGTTAAATATTTTTTCTTCATCAACTATTTTTTACAAATAGGCATGCGGAAAGCATAATTTCTTTCCGCTTTGGTCTCCTGACTGCGACCTAATTTTTGTAAAAAATAATTTAGCCGTAGAAAGAGCTCTCTCAGATTCCACACTTGTTAGTTGGGTAGTCATTAGGATATCGTATGCTATTTGTATATTTTCCCCTTACTTCTTCTTTTTGAAGATACGTCAATTCTTTTTTGATGGGTTAATTCAGACTTTTAGTTTTTTTCGATCAGAGTTCGTTCTTCATAGGATACTTCTGTTTTCGTCTTTATTAGGAATCGAAGTTTTTGTTTCATTAATAACCTAGTAGATGTCGAAGGAACAATTGACATTGATTAAAAGGGTTAGATTAGTAAATTCACAAATTAACTTACATTTTATTCCAAAAAAATTATCACATTCTAGGTTAATTTTCCATATCCACCCTCAAGGATTACATAACAGTCATCACCCCCTCTCCCACTGAAATCTCAAACAACACTTCCTTCTTACAAGTGCTAAAACCAAGCAGTGCCCCATTATCCATTATCGTCGATCCTATCAACATATCCAACCAGTCGAAAGAAGCTCCCGAATTCAAACACGCCCGCGGCGCTAACTCATCGATCCAAGCCAAAGCAGAAAAGAAACTACCCTCGTGAACGGTCATAAATAAATTTCGAACGTTATCGGTTGTCATCCGGCTGTTCCCCGATCGAAACGTCGCGTCCAGGCAAGAATCTCACCCGGGGGTGGTTCATCGAGTGATATACATAGAAGCTCT